CTTACCAAGACCAGAGAGCTCCGAGACCGAGACACCAAGAGACCAAGACATTTTAGGGATTTGGACTGAGGCAAGACCGAGATCAAGATATCACCGAGACCAGAGAGCTCCGAGACCAAGACAAGAGCAGGACATTTAGGGATCTGGACTGAGTCAAGACTTAGACCAAGACAGGATGAGAACGAGACAAGACCAAAAATATCAGTGAAATATCATCATCTTGTGTGAAGGGGGGGGGGGCGAGTCACTCACTAACTTAGACCATAACATCGGGAAGGTTGTGGCTGTCACCAGGGGTTCAAATCAAGCCTGTTCAAATCAGTGGTGATCTTGATTTAAAATCCAGAGTCCACCCAGTCTGGCTCTGAAAACATTTGCAGCGACCTGTCATATCTATAAAGTTGTTACTGAAGCTATTACTTTTATTGCATTTTTATTAGAAAACAATGCAATCATAGAAGTCAAGCCCTAACAGAAATAAACCCCTCTTTCCCCCACAGAGGGGCATGTGGCTTATTAATTACTATGACACTGTTATTGGCCGATACCCAAAGCCCAGGTCATCTTTTTATTTCTCTGCAGCCTCTTCCTCAAAGAGCTGAAGATCCAGTATTAGTCAGTTTATCTTAAAAATAAAATGCAAAATAAAAAAAGCGAGTCCATTCCTGCCTGTAACGCTTCTGAAACAGGTAGCAGACTCGCAGCAGAAGCTGCAGAAATTGACCTCAATGTGACAGTTGGCTGGTGTTAATTTCTCTCCTGACTGTACGTCTGTGGTATGTTGATGATGTGTGCCTCCTGTTTGTTGAGGCTGATGCCGTGTAATTGCTGTGGTATGCACAAATGCAGCCATGTTGTTTTGCAACCCCTCCCCTTTTCCATCCATGAAGAAGTATAGACCTGTGTTTGCCGAGACATGCTGCAAACAGCCACACACACTCACACACTCACACACTCACACACTCACACACACACTCCTAGTCAGCTTCACTCATCTTTTTTCCTCTCATTCCAACGACTTCACTCTAGTAGCTACAGGCGATTCCAGACATACTGTAAGTTATTGCATAGGTTGCCATTAATTTTACTTCCTCCCCCTCTTGTCGCCCCCCCCCCCCCCTCGCTCTGCACTCCTGAACTCCAGGATCCCACACTTGTAGTTTTGTTTGTTCAAGAAGACAGTGTTTGTGGATGTCATGTTGTTAAATTGTTTGCATATGTCCATAAAGAAGACGTGTCTGCTTTCCTTTTTTTTTTTAAGATGGACCCTGGCCACAGAGTCGGCAAGTTCCTGAGTCTACTGAAGGATGGAGGAGGGTAAGTAGCGTCTTCCTGTTTCCAACACGACTCCCTTTATGTAAAACGGGATCCTCTGTGATACTGAACACTCGCTCCACACTGTCACCGCGACCACTCTTCACTTACAGATGGGGCAGACGAAGGAAAAACATTTGTACAAAAAGCACAGAAATGTTAACATCAGATCAAGTGAGATTAATAATAAACATTGTGTCACTCTCTTGCAGACTGGGTTCTGATAAGTTTGTGGCAATCTAGACTCATTGGAGCCACATAGTGACAAAGAGGCATCCTTCAACGGTAAGACTGCGGGGCTGCATTGTCTCATTTTTGTGCTCATCGTATCCTCTGTGGAGTAAAAAGGCAAAATCTGTTAACTCGTATAAATGTCTCACAATTTATGTCAAAGGACAGAATGTGAAAACAATGAGAATGTTTTAAAACTGGGGAAATAAGATGCCACAACTTCAATTATAGGGGCCCAGTTATATATATATATATATATCATTGACAGTATATAAAGATGGATGTCTTTACCTCTTCTCATTGTACACAAGTGAAGCCAAAATACCACTGTGACGAGCGCTGACATCTTGAACATGTCTAAAGCACAAAACTGTAATGACTCTTGTGCCAGTGTTTGTTACGGTCTATTTGACCCTTCCTGCCCTCGTCTGCTAATCCAGTGTACAGAGCGCCGCAGGGGCTGAATTTGTCAACAGAGCTGTCAATCATGCCGTAATACTCCTTCTAAGATCTGCAGTTGTCTTGAAATTAAAATGTAAACTTCTTTTAAACTTCTCAGAAATCATCATGATAAGAATTAACTTTAAAGAGAGAAACAATGCTTGAGAATTTTTTTGTTTTTGTATTATAGTTTGACCCATGTCCCATCTGTTTACATGGAGGAGGCGGAGCTTATCACCTATACTGCAGCAACTCTAAATTTGAGGGAGCTGTTACGTCGTACATAGATATATATTTATATACAGTCAATGGCAAACATTCATAAACACGTTTCCCCCTGTTTAGCAGTCTTTATGCTAAGCTAACCTCAACAGTCGCTAACTTTGATAAGAAAGGAAATGTTTCCCAAAAAAGTTAAAATACTCTTTAATTAAATAGTTTCTGTTGTTCCTGTTGGGAAGATATTTTTAAGGATGTTCTGTACGATTTAAAACACAAAATGTAAATTGTTCAATTATGTGCACATGCAAATAAAAAAGAAAAATGGTGGATATACTTCAGGTGAAAACTAAATGGAAGGATGGAAGGATTAGCTTTTTTATTTTTGTCTTGGTCCCATGTTCTCCCAGTACCATAAAATGTAACATTTGAACTATCGCCCTTCATCCCAGTTTATCTGATCTGAGTCTGTTTCCTTCTTGAAGCTATTAAAGTTTTAGCTCGTAGTCCTTTTTTTTTACAAAGTTATCCAGCTATCTCGCTAATCCTGCTTTGTGAGATGCTCCCCACGAGGAGCAGCTGCGGCGGGTGATGCACAACAAAAAAAAAACTTGTACAACTTCTCAAATCACAGCCAGTCTTGAGTTTTGCTTCTCATCGCAGCCTCAGAGGGCTTATGGTATAGTTAGCGCTAAAAATAGGTCGACCAGACAGGTGCTCTCTTGTGGCAGCACGTCTCCTCTGCCTGCCTGTCTCTTCTCGCTTTTATTTGTCTCTCTTCACTTCAGTTGCTGAGGAACGGAAGCCCCTTAAAGACGGCTGGCAAGGAGGAAGCAAGCGAGAGAGTTTCCGTCTCTCTCTTTTCCTTCTCTCTCTCTCGGCATCCTTCCTTCTCGTCCCTGAAGCTCTGAGCGCTCTTCTCTCTGCACTGCAGCTCTCTGCAGCCAGGCATCCTCCTCCTCCTCTTCCTCCTCTTCAGCACTATGTGAACATGTAAAATAAGAGAAATACGCCCGTGTTTGTGGCATCTGTGTATATTGCCAAGTGCTGTGATCTCCATGTGATGCCCTTAGCACTCCATTGGGATTTTAAAAATGTAAAAGAGTCAAAAGATACTGTTGCAAGTGGATGAGCATGCACAAACACTAATCATTACACTGTTCAGATAGGTTTATTTGTATGCACAGATTTGTGATTTGATCATTCCAGGACGAGATCTCACTTTGTTCTTATAATGTTGTGTACTTGCTTGTGTCTTACCTTTTTTGTTTTATCAATAAATTAATTCTATAATTACCGAGGAGCTCTGGAATTAAGAGATGAATGAGCAACCAAACTTAAGTAATGAAGGTCCCTCACAGCAGGGGGCTCACGCTGCTTTAATGATGTGTTTGACATTTTAGCACCCTCAGTGGAATATGAAGCTCTTAAGTTACTGATTTAGCTCAATGCTGTCTCACTCTGCCAAAAAAAAACCTCAACATATAATGTGACACAGTCCAAATAAAAAATAAAAACACAGTCTCCTTCCAGTTGTTTTCTTTATTGAGTTTTCTCCTCCTGCATGTTGAAATCATACGAGATTGTCTTTATAATTAGGATCCAGCGTAATCATCTCCTAATTAGGAGACATAGCTCATCTCCTCTCGGGATGAACATACTCGCACATTAGCGGTTAACCTCCAAACTATCTGTGTCGCAATCACCGTGCAGCTTAACAAGAAGTCATGCTCAGCTTCTTTTTTTTAAACCGAGCAGCTACTGCAGCATGTCTGCAGAGACTGCTGGGAAAATTATCAATTCGATGAAGATTTCTTTTCTTTTTTTTACATCAACATGGTGAGTCAAAAATAGAGAGATATATCAGTCAAGCCTCAGTCATGACTTTGATATATTTAGAACCTCCATTGGAAGGTTTTGGTTTTTTCATGCAAATTGTTGACATTAAGAAATGTTTTTGAAAGCCTTCTTTTAATAAAGTTTTGGATCTATAGTTTTTGTGTTAATGTGTCTAAGTATGAACCAAGCGGCAACTTCCAGTGTTAAAAATGAAGCCAGTGCAGAAGTGCAAAAACCTGCAGCTGGTCGAGTGTCTGTCTTGAGGCTGACTCCAGAGTCACATCCAAACAAAATGCAAAAAGACGTTTTTACAGCAGAAATAAACATGTTTACAGCCAGGTACCAGAAACAAAATAGGTTAGTTATTGTCATCACTGGCACACTGTACGGGTGGTGATTATTATTATTATTTTTTAAATGGCTCGGTTTTGATTGAACAATATGTATTATAAATAGTTAGGGGCATAGCTGACATGATTGACAGGTGGGCGGGATGTAACCGTTCGTCAAGAGGCTTAAAATCCGCCTCAGCTCCAGCTCTCTGTCTGTCATTAGGTTGACTGAAAGTTAGACTGAGACAGGATTTTCAACATGGCGGCTGCTGCCGTTGAACCTCCGGAGCCCCCTGCAGGAAGAGATGGCTGTGACATCACTCAGGCTCCGCCCATTAATATTTACTGTCTATGGATGAAGTCTGAAGCACTTTTCTCCCAGTGTGCAACATCATAAGTGTAGCTCAGTGTGTGTGAGAGGTTGTGTTACTGGTGTTCAAATCAAAAAATCAAGGAGACCGTTTTGTTCTTCAAATATATAATCTTAGTTCAGTCATACAGATATATACATTGTATAATAAATAATATTTATAAAAACATAACATTTACGATTATAAAATAAAAAGGGAATTATTCACTTTAAAACATTTGTACAAAACTTTGGATATAGCGGGAGGGAGAAGAGGGAACTGAACACAGAAAGGTAAGCCCAGGTAGGGAGGAGGGCTGGGGGGTGGGGGGGTATTTGTGTAGAACATGACACAAATGCTAAGCTAGGAGAGTCACAAGGAGAGGACAGGCTGTACACTACTTTTGTTGTTGATTATAATGAATAGAGTGCAGGTGGGAGTGTCAGAGCACGCTGTGTGGAAACCTCAATCCATCCACCAAATTTTTATTTTCCCCTTCACTTCCCTTTATCACTGGCAGCCATCATTCGCACACACTCACTCATACATCTTGCATACATAAATCATCCAGCTCCTTACGAGGTTTCCCAACCTTCCTCTGTTCTCAGAATCAGAAATCAAGAATCGACATAAACTGGAAGTCAGTTTTCTCAGTCAGTGTACTAGTCAAAGTTTCCAGAAAATCATAACTTTAGCAAATTGTAGTTTGTAGTTCTTTAAATATCTCCAAAGTCATAACAGCTTTGCAAGAGTGTTTTTGCGGTATTAGCTTTTTAGAAACTTCAACTGTCCGAGCGAGGGGAAATAAGGATAGAAGGAAGGGAGGGAGTGAAAGCCAATCAAATCCCACACTGCGTTTTTCCACACGTCTTCACTCGTCCACTTTTTTTCTTTTTTTTTAATCGTGATGACGAAAGATTTGTTTAGACAAACAACTCTAAAAATGGACCTGGTGGATTCATGAAGGGTTAGAATATAAGATCTTCCATGTTGGAAGCATGCTAAAGCTCGAGTTTCATGAATGAATAAGCCTTACACTCATGTTGTTGTTCATTGATCGCCCCTATGATTGAATAACATACGGACTGTGTTGAGACACATCATGAGAAATTTACAGGTTGATGGTGCCACTGAATGGAGGAACAAAGTCGTCATTCATAAGAACAGCTAGCTTGCGATGAGAAGTGAACTTTGTGGCGTAAACAATGCTCAAATCTGTCCCACCTGGAGCTCTGTCTAACTGAATAGTGCATACATTTGTTAGTTAGTGGAATGAGCATGCTTGTTCACACACATGCTGCATACCTCCAGTCCCAGCCCGATGGTAATATTTCAGAAATGCAGGGCTATAAAATCAGGCTGTAGCATATATCTTCCAGGCTCCCCGGTTGACTGGTGCGGCACAGCCAGTCAGCAACACTGAGGATTTCATCAGCTCAGTAGTTTTTACAACAACAGCAACAACAAAAAAGACAGGACTATGGCGACTTCCAACACCTGCCTGCTGTTTTCAGTTCAGTTCAGTTCAGTAGTTACAAAGTGATGGTTTCCTGGGGCTGTGTTCAGTTTCACTTCCGACTAAGTGATGGTTGTAGAGGTTGATTTAGTTAAAAAAAAACAAAAGGTAAACCAGCCAGATAAGCTGGAGAAGTGAGGTGTTAGTTAGAAGATGCTTTTTGTTCAAAAAGCAAAGAGAGTCTTTTCTTTTTTTTACTGCATTAATCTCACAGGTAAAAAGTGTTACTGTACATGCCACAAACATTGTGCTGGCATGGAGGGGAAATAAATAAAGACAGGAAGGGAGAAGACGGGGTGGGAGTCATGGTCCAATGTAGCAGGGAGAGGAACAAGGGGTAAGTGGCATAATTCTAGCTTCTTCCCAAATTTTCTGGTCAGATATTATGGAAATAAAGTGGTTTGGAAGACTGATTCTACAAAAAAAAACAGGTATAGAAGTATCCATTACTGATGTGCCATTACCCATTAGGGCCTGAGTGTGTGCCGATGAATATGATTTTGTGTTTTGGGGAAGTACGGGAGTCGTGCAGGAGTTGGAGGTGGGGAGTTGCGGGGAAGTTTGGGAGGGAAGTACTCGTAGTCCAGCAGTTCTGTTTTTCACTTGCATGTGTGCACGTCGTACACGCGCACACACTCCTGACAGCTGACGTAGCAGCACCAGTGGAAGATGCAGTGACATTTCTCCTTGCGTTTCTCAGTCCGGGTGTTGTGGCCACGGCCGCAGCACAGCAGGTCGCAGCCCTCGATGCCGTGCGACGACACGTTGCAGGCTCGGTCGCGCGTCCCGAACGAACCGGTCTCAGGATTGGGCTCGCAGAAGTTGGGCGAGCCCTCGTAGTAGACCAGGTCGCGCTCGGTGGGGTGCTTGAAGAAGTTGTACTTGACTCGTAGCGTCTCAACCCAGCCTCGGGACTCGCGGTGCTTCTCTACCACCATCTCCGAGGCGCTGTCGTACTTGTCCTTCAGGTAGTCGCCCAGCATACGGAAGTCTGGCTGCGCCCACCAACAGGTCTTGACCTCGCAGCTTCCTGACAGGCCGTGGCATTTACAGCGCAGGTGCATGTGGTCCAGGATGGTCTAAAACACACATAGGGCGCTTATGGTCAGTTTGTTGGATTATTTCAAGCCACAATTATTGCTTTAGTACATTTAAAAACATGTACAACTTTTCCTATGGGACTCAAACTCAACACAACATAAAACCAAACTTTCCTATCAGCCTGGCAAGTGTAGTAGCATGTTGTTGGGCTTCATTATGAAGATTTCATTATGTCACATTAAATGCCTTTTGCCCAGATATCAATCTGCCTACAGTGCTTAGCCATGTTTTTCAGCTGATGACCTAAAATCTGAATGTCTGAAGGTTCAATTCTTGGGCTTTTACTTTATGTATTAACCTGTGCATGCTCCCTCTTGGTCGAAACATGCCATAGCTTAGCACAGCTAATCAGATGACACTCAACTGTACTTAAACCTGGTTATGTTAGGATTCAACTAAATTACTTTTAGATTCAAATTGCCTTTAGGAAACATTTTAATAAGGGAATAAGTACAGTTGTTCCCCCACTGACCATAAATCTGAGTGAATCATAATGACATGTGGCATCCCGCAAGGTTTAATTCTTGGGCCACTGCTATTCAATGTGTACATGCTCCCTTTAGGGAAAATCATACAAGACTATAACGTTGCCCATTACGGTAATGTAGGTGACACTCAGATATACTTAAGTCTTTTATTTAGTTTAGATTGAATATGATGCATTTCTACATTTATATGTTCTTGTGGAGATATTTCAATCTAGCTTCAGAACACACATTTTCTGGTTAAAGAAACTGATATTGCGGTCACATCACGTTGTTATGCAGACGATAATCTGACTTACTTAACATTATCACAAACTGAATATGGTCCCTGGAATCACTCTTTCAATGTCTAAGGGGAGTTAATGGGATGATGCGATTACATTTCCTTAAATAAAGTGAAGACAACACAAAAATCCTTGTATTTGGCAACAGGACAAAAACAACTCAAATCTATGTGTCACAGCTACGGTAATAAGGTTCTCAGTGGTCTGACTCTCTACTGAACTGTCTCTGGGCAATCTAAAACCCCAACCACATAATCTAAGGAAATCTAAAGTGCACTCCTATCATATTTTTACATTACATTCTCTTCGCCAAGAAGTTTAGAGATACTGTTCATTTTAAAAAGCTTTGGAGCCATTTAGTGAGTTTCTAAAGATGTTTGGCTTTTTTTGTTGTTGTGTCTCTAAGCTTCCACCTTTCAAGTTCTAAGGGCTGTGCAAATCTAAAATAAGAAAAGGCAGAATGAAGGGAGTATTACTTTAATTGACTTCAAATGAGCTGCCCTTAATTTGGTGACTCACTGCTCACAGGGCAGTCAAAGTCATTCACCACCAAGAAAGATCTTTTGGAATTTTATGGTCAGAAATTTACAGGAAATTCAGTTACGCAAACTAACACAACCACTAAAGACCTGCAGAGCCGGCCAAGAAAAGCAATATGCCACCGGCTGCAATTTATCTAAGTGTCATGCAGCTGTGAAGTACAGAGGCTCTGTGCAGCAGCTAATTCCCTCTGAAGTCACTGGCTCACACCATGACTGTGCTGCCGCGGGGCGCGTTTTACCTTTGTGTTTTGATTTTGTTGTGCTTTAATTCAACAGCTATATTTAGCTGCAGAATTTCCCCAGCTGCGGCGGAAGGCAGGTGGCTGGGGCACCTCTGGGTGAGGAGTGGGAGAGTGAGGGGGGGGAGCGACTTATGGGTGGATTGGGCTAGTGACATCACACTGTGAGCTTGTCATGCCAACATCAAGTCCCAGAGGCCCTCGGGGCTAAATAAAAGAGCGTGAGAGGGCCAGGTGGATGAGAGTGGAGAGTCCTGACAGTGCTGCTGTTCAGTTCGCTCCTGTGGGCTCTCTCTCTCCCCGGCTGCTCCTGTGTGCTCACATCAAAGACCTGCTTGTTGCCGTGTGGTCCTTCCATTTGCCCCTCAGCGAGCGGCCAGGGAGTCTGTTTTCTCCAAGCAGTGACAGCAGCCAGTGATGTTTTAAGTCAGAGCTGATTTCCTTCTTTTCCCCCTCAACTCACTCGGGTTATTTGACTGGCAGGGAATTTTTCATTGGGATGCAAAGGCATGAAAAGAAAGTGTGTGTGTGTGTGTGTGTGTGTGTGTGTGTGTGTGTGTGTGTGTGTTGGGGGGGGTGCTTAGATGAGTAATTAACTAGTCATTCAAAGTCAAGTAATTTTTAGGTGGAAACCAAGAAATGTGCAGACAAGTTGGATACCAAATCCCTGGCTGTCAAATGAACAATTAGTAACCTCAAACAGCAAAATAACTGAAAACCCTTTTTTATATATTTAGAAGACAAGGCGCTGATTGTCCATTGTTTACAGCATCCTCAGGCTTCACTTCAAATCACACATTTTGCTGAGGTTATTTAATTTAAGTGCTGTTTACAGTGCCTAGAAGAACTTTCATCCTTCTCTTCATTAGATGCTTATGTTCTTATAAACACCTTCATCTTTCAACATAAGGTCTGAAATTTACATAATCCTACATGCTTTTATTACAACTAGAGGACCTAAATGAGTTATTATTACAAAATGGGGAGGACTGACATGCAAAGACGTCTGACTTTTACACTATCCCTTTTGGATGAACTGGATTAAGGACTGTGAGCCAGGCTTTTGTCACATCAGTGTTGGACCTCACTGATGTTCTTGTGGCTGAATGGGAGAAAATCCCTGCAGCCAGGTTCCAAAATCTTTTGGGATTCCTTCCCAGAAGACTTGAGGCTGTTACAGCAGCAGTTTCTTTTCTGTAGTCCTGGAATTCGACTATCATTTATGGGTGTCATGTCCTGGTGTCAGCCTAATTTGTGCCAGTTAGTGAATTTTAACAGACACTTTTCAGCACATACTGTAGATGGATGTTGTCTGTTTAAATGTAACCAGGGCCCTGGTGGCACACTGGTTGGTGCCCAGGTTCGAATCCGGCCTGTGGCTCGTTTCACGCATGTCATTCCCAACTCTCTCTCTCCCTGATTTCTTACCACTGTGATATCTCTACAATAAAGGCACAAAACGCCCAAAAATAAATCTTTTTATTTTATTTTTTAAACGTAGTTACCGAGCGTCCTGCCTCGTTGTTGTGTCGGTTCATTGCAGAACGAGCATCTGGACGATTCTCTCTGGCGTCCGCAAACTCCCTGGACACCAACACCCCGAACTCAGCGTCCTCGCTGCAGCCGCCCCACTTCCAGCCCTCCCCTGGAGGACCCTTGTGGTGAGAATCACAGCCACACATGGTGGACGTGCCCTCAGCGCAGGAGCGAGTCACCGCAAATGCTACGCCCGCGGAGGCTATAGCGTGGACAAACGCTGACTCTCTGGTTGCTGAAAGAGACAGATGAAGACAGACGGAGAGGAAAGCAGGAAAAAACAGAGGAGAGCGTCAATCTTTGTAAAACACAGACCAGGTAATTTTTACTACTGCCAACACTCAGACAGAGGTATTGAAAGGGATACCTCTAGGCAGTAACCTTTTAACACAGCATTTCATCTTCAAGAAGGCACATTTATGACCTGCTATTTGCCACTGTTAACAAGAACCCTGTCTTATTTCACAATATATAAACAGGGATCACAGGGTTTTTTTACATGTTCAGCTTTGGCTATGACGAACCTCAGATACAGGACACATGAAGGAGCCTAAAAGCAGAGTCCCTGCAGTGACATCAGCCCATTGTTGTTGTGTCAGTAGGGCCTTATGCTCAGCAGGATCTCGGTGACCTCCTGTCATTCTTGAGGTGTGCTGCTTTGCATCTGGATAGTGTTTCAGGAATGTTGTCACCTCCCTCCCTCCCTCCCTCCCTTCAACCCGTCCCTGTTCAGAGCCCAAGGCCCTGTGGTGAAACCTAGCAGTGTGTCGGCCTGTTTCTTTTTTACACTCAGGGATGGAGTTACACCTCCTTTGAAGGCAACAGCTTATTATGTAACCAGACACCATTGTTTCACAATCACAGCACACTTACCGTAGCTCACCCATTACACTCAGATAACTCTAAACTAGACACAGACACACACACACACACACACACACACACAAAGGTATGGGGAGTTTTATGTCCTTCTTAAGCAGAGGCTTGGTTTTTCAAGAGAGTTGCATGGTTTGTGATATTCCATGATTTTTTTTAAATTTGTATAAACACAACCAGAGGATTTAACCCATTTTTTTTTTTTTTTTTTTACCACAATGACAATTAGAGTTAAATTGAGCATAAAGAAGGGAATCCTTTACTACATAGCTACTTGTGATTGACAATTCACAACCATGGAAACCTGAGAAATACTGTGTTAGGAATCCAGTTGTATATTTAATTTATATATAAAAGCACATTTTTGTTCTAAGCTTAGTTTTTCACCAGCCAAAATGTTTATTCCAATTTCTATCACAGTCACATTGGATTACAGATGTACACCCTGTTAATCAAGCAAGTGTTAGCATTAGATAAAAGCAATCCCCTACTCCACTTGAGCTGCAACCCTCTTGTCCAAATACGATAACTTCTGGCAACAATATACCAAGATTGCACTGTAAAATGGTAGCCCACAAACTATCAGTTACTTTTATGCCATGTGCATGCAAATGATTGTCAGGGTGAAAGATAAGATGGATCACTATGTTTTTTTGTTACAAAAGTTTTGTAAATCTCTAGTCCATTGACAAATAAACTGTTTTGTATTTTGAGAAATAGCTTGTTAAATGGAAACAGCAAAACACTAACAAGACTGTGTATCTTCCTCCGTCATTCTCAGTTAAAGGTTTTGGTCTAAATCAGCAGCGAATCCTTCCATGATTGGATAACACACAGTCCTCAGGTCCGGCATCCCTGCTCGCCCTGGCAAGCCTAGCTGGGCCCTCCACAACAGGGGCCTGTGAGCCCTGGGCCCCTGGAGCTCTGGCTGTTAGCCAAGGCTAGCGCTGCTCCTGCTACCTGCTGGGCCCATCAATCCGCCTTTGTTTCCCTTGTGTCACACTGTATTATCCACACAAAGGGCCCAGCGACTCGCGCCCCCACAGCCCCGCTCTGCCCGGAGCTGGCATTCCCTAAACTCCCTAACCCCACCACCAAACCCCCTCTCTCTCTCTAGCCACCCCTCTGCCAACACCCTGAGCTGAAATCCCATACACCACCACCCACCACAGGACCTCAACCCCCCACTTCCTCAAGGCATCACCCACCATCGCCAGCAAAAGGTGGCTGGTGCTGCTGGTTGGTAGCTCTTCCCTCCCTTCTTCAAACTTTTCCATTTATCACTCCCAAAGTGAGACAGTTTCTTTCCTTCCCACCTTCCCTCCTACCTTCCTTCCTTTGCACCCTTTTTCCCAAAGTGCACACCCGGGCTAGGTTTTGCAGAGATCCCCTTTCAGCCTGTTTTCATGACAGAGTCAAAAGGGCGTGTGAATGGGGCGTCCGTGGGAGCTGGACTGTGTGAGGCACGCACTGGTCTTCATGCACAGTAGGGGTTGAGCGGAGCCCCCCGGCCCTTTTCTATTGCCCATAATCTCATTTGGCCTCCCTTCTCCCTTTTATTTGACTGAGGAGCTTGGACTGCTCACACTGCCCATTTCTGCCCGGATTCATTCCCCTCTGACATACGGGGTAATTCATTTCCAATCAGAGGCCTCGCTATCAACACACACAAACTTCTACCTTTATAATTTGGCCCTGCAAGGCCTCAAGCAGGACACCTGTGTCTATTGTGTCCCACTGTCAGGTTCAATGGGATTGTTTTTAACGTCGAGATATCTTACAATTAGTATTCTGCATGTGAAGCATCTGATGGATGTCTCCAGTATATCAGCTGTACATGTCAGGTAGTGCTGATAGATTTACAGCACTGACCCTCTTTCATGTAAGAGAGTGTAAACATGGTTGGGAAAACTGGAAAAAAGAAAGAAAGAAGTAGCTGACTCTGAAGACAAATGTGATATTGAAGGTTAAGATGGATGGAAGTTGAATGTGTCAGTGCTTGTACCTGTGCTCATTTCTCACAGCAGCCAGGAAAGGTGTATATTATTGTAATTGCCCTAGTTAAGCGTTTGTCAGCAGAGGCCCAGAGAACAGGCAGTGCTAAGCCTGAGGGGGGAAACTGTTTAATGCTATGTTTTGTAACAGCTTGCAATAGCCTTGGCTATACAACCTACTTTTTAGAGGTTGGGTGTTGTTTGGCAGCGATCATTTATACAATCATTTAGTTCATACTGCAAGCCTCAAATGAGCCACATATTCACATTGTTACAAAACAGAGCTATAAAGACAATACCTTATAAATATGTTACCTTTATCCAGCACGGGGCCAAAGATTGCCAGGTTGTCCTTGATAGTCGTACAGTTCCATCGACGGCCCCTGAACTGGTGTTGGCATTCCTGGATTCCCAGCTTGACACCTTCTGCAACACTAGGCATGATCTCTATGTAGTTACGGCAGAAACGCAGCTGCTTGGGGACAAGCCCAGGAATAGAGCCACATAGGATGGGTTGGGATCCCAGTGATGAGTACTGCTGTCCAAGGGCTAGGGACCTGAGACAAAAAAAAGAAAAAGGAAAGCTCCATTAAGCATGATCTTTTATACATCTCTTCATCTGTACAGGATGAATAGGACTGGTTTTGTAAAAGTAAGAAAAACTGCAATTGGAGTATCCAAAGGGACAACCATGGGAATAAGAGAAACATACATGGGCATATCCAGAGGGACACAAGGCCAAGGTGAACAATGTATTTGTACCTTCTTTAAGTTCAAACAGCTTTTCACAACAGCTTTATAGGTTTGCTAGCTACAATAAATCACCACAGCTAAACTTAGAATTTAACCGAGAGTTTCAGCTTCACACAAACAATTTTTTGTTCCTTTTGCCTATTTTGACAATGTTTCTTTTCAGACAGAGTTTTGTAAAGCTGCTTGTATTTAGAGAACATTACCATTTGAGATCTTAATCTTCTTTTGTTCAATTGAAAAATGTTTTGTAGGGAAAAAAAGGATTTTAGCGTTTATCGTATTTTATCGTTTATAAAAAGTGTATACCCAGCCATGGTGCTTTTACAATTTAAAGTTTTAATTGTGAAACTGCTTGCCCCAAAACACAAATCTCTAACCTCTGTGAAAGAAACCCTTAAATAGTAGAGATGGTGACCTTTCAGGGAGGCTTGCACTTTAAAAAGAAAATGCGTCTGTATCCACTGATCTCAGTTAACTTTAATTGTACCACTTTGACAGCACAGTGATTCATACACAAGTGCTTTATTGACTTATCTGTTTAATAAAGTTTATATTAAGAGCTTCTGTTTATTTTGTATCTTTTTTTTCTCCAGGAAACACGGGCTAAAGGACCCACTTCAGGGCAAGGATACGAGCTATTAATACTGACTTCCAAAGTGTTCCCACTTGTACACATATCTGCTGATCTAACAGATAACACATGAGAACCTGTCTGCTTGGTTTGGGAAAAGCCCCCTCACTATTTCAAACACATGAAAACACCTGTCACACTAGAACCTTTATTAATTTGTGGTTTTGTCTCTGTAGCTGATTTTTTAAGAATGACAGTGTATACAGCTGAGCTCGCTGCTGATGGATGAAAACAGCATATCTGAATCAATCTGCCTCACCAGAAGGCTCAAGGAGATGTGCCAAACAAGGATTAATCATCACAATAAGACAGCCAAGATCACCTTGTGATGCCAGGAACCATTATAGTTTCACCCAGGTAATTAATTTTAATTGCTTTTTATTTCTCTTGAAATAAAGTAAAAGAGAGACAACGTGTTTGCCATGCCTGTGTTTTAACATGCTTTTTGTGATGACAAGCTCCAACACAACTTTAAAGTTTCTTCCAGAAGCTCATACAATTACTGCAAGATGTCAGACTCCAATTTATTTATTAAAGTTATTATCTTTGGGAAAAAACATGCTTCTGTACAGGCCTTCATTCTTAAGGGATGATGGTTTGACGTTGTGGGTGTGATTTGGGTGTTTACAGGGTTTGGAAGGTGTACTGGCATTTCACATTTTTACATAAAGAGCTCTACCAGACTATCCAGTACTTAGCCGAGTCTGGGCCGACAACATGGCGCTGGAGGCCATGAGAGGATCATGGAGGACAATTGACGTTGATCAGATCAGAGCGCCACTCAGGATGACCTCAGGACCCCCGCAGGGCGCAACCCAATCACAGCAGCCACTGACTCTGACAGATGAGTGCAGCACAGTGCCCCACCCCAACACAAAAGTCAAAGCATTGAAGTCACAGGGAAAAATCCCCCTTAGATAGGTTCACAGCTCATGTGCGCTTTTGCTTTCTGCATATCTAAGCCCTGCCCCCACCTAAAACAACCCATCAACCCTCCCATACACACTGTTTTTGATCTCAGGTGAGCATTGTTACAGCAGGATCACAGGTATCAAGGTTTGGGGCTTTCGCACAGAGACATGGCTGAGTTTGTTTTGCTTTTACAGCTGGTTTAATGGATGATGATCACATAAGCAGCTCTAAGCCACTTGTTTTGTTGTCATGAGCTTTCTGACTCACACTCGTACAAAACAAACAAGGCTCAAGTTTCAGTATGAAATCCTGTCTGATCACAGCCCCTCAATGACATGATGCTTATAAGTGCTATTTGATTCTATTATTCCACATATTTATAACTTTTCTTTAAACACAGGAAGCAAGGGAAGAACTTGTTACAGATGAGATTGGCATTTGCCTAAATGGTCAAATGTGAGAACATTCAAATAAAATGAATGCTATGACAAACTAAGATTGGCCATAAGTCCTGTGCATTATGTGGAAGGGACAAGGATTTCAGTTTTGAATAGTTTATGTTAAAGTTGCCATGATAAAAACGGATGATGGATTTTTTATTACACATTTCCCGCACTCATTATTACCTATATACTACATATACTGTCCATAAAGATGGACAGACAGGTAGGTAGGTATTGGAATACAGGTAATAATGAGTGATAAAAATATTCCAACATCCATTTTTATCATTGAAACGTTAATATTTTAACTATTCAAAACTTTCAAACACCACAGAGCAAAAGGAAAATGAAGTCTCATCTTTTTATATCCAACTGTTTTGCCAAACTTGACGTTCCCATGCAGATTTAGTAAAATTAAGAGCTCATCAATCTCTATAAATGTTTTTGTCATGAGTTTACCCAAGCAGAGGCAGCCCCTTAGCTTATCTGCCAGCCCCAATACCGCCAACATCACTGAGTTCAAGTGTTGCTGACTTCACTCCGTCTGGTGACTGGGTGACTAAGGACCTTAATTACACTGTCTGCTTGCTTGGTTGCTGCCCATTAATCTCTCAGTCATGGGATTGAGCAGGGTGCATGATGCCATGCGTCAAGCTTGGATCTTAACCCTGATGTCACAAGCTCCCCAACAACATCTCTCAATCAACTCAAAGGAAAATCTCTCCATTTCAATTTAGTCCAAGATAACTGTGTTTCGACTTTTGTGCCATATTTAAAGTTCTATCCAGGCCAGCTAAACTGTTTGCCCACAAACCGAATTTGGGATTTCTGATGGAATCAATTATCTAACCGCATGAGACTCTGTGGTGGACACAGCATTTTTAGACTACACACTGTGGATCTGCCAGCCAATTTGTCTTTGTTTGCGAAGGATGTGCCTCGCTTGATCCTTATGGACAGATGAGATGAAAGGGATATCTTTTTTGGCTAGGTGCTAATGAGAGTCTTAACCCTGAGGGGTTATGAGGCGTATCGTGCAAACAGACACACACGCAGACTCATGCATGCAGACCACATGTGTGCCATGCTGATCCTGCCCGCTCTGCCTCACTTCTCGGAAGCCACGAGCAACGTGTCTCAACCAAGTGAGGGAGCAGCAGACGCAGAGACCTCCACAGAGGCAGAATGCCGGGGGAATCTGCTGCAGGGGACGAGACAAGCAACAGAGCAGCAGTGAGCGGCAGGGCTTGGCAGGTGCATGTTCAGGCAGGTTGTTATGGGGCCTCTACTGGCCTGGGGGGGTTTATGGCTTGGTTGGGGGTTTTCTCTGTATCCTAACTGGTCTGATGTGAAAGTATGACGGGCCGCTTGAAACCACAGAAATGAAGCGGAGGAAACAAAGGGATTCCACCACACACCTTGCTGAAGAAGGGAAATACACGCAATCAAGACTATACTGTCAACATAAACTTTTAATTCAATCACTCCCAAGTCACTTCTGTAATCTCTGCACTTCAGTTTGAAGCGGCAGGGGTTACCCTTTGCATCTCTTAGTTTTTGTTTTGTCTCAGTCAGTAGGTGAGTCAAAGACCCTTGCACTGTTAGAAATATGTTGCAGCTGCTGTTGTGGGAGGTCTGTATTGCAGGGGTCAGTGTGAAGCACATGTCTTCACACAGATGAGCTTTCTTTGTGTGACAGCCTCCTATGTCCAGAGGCACAAAAAGCACCAGGTGACCCTCTGAACCTGTTGAACACATGACATCTGACCTCACCGCCTTTAGCCTGATGACCTACTGAAACAGTTGGAAGTTCATGACCAGGGTCTATTAGCAAATCTAAGTGCAAGTATCCTCTTTAATCACATAAAAGGCTTAATCAGGCGCCTGCTCGTACTCGGATTCAACAATAAAAATAAATCTGATCAAAACTACTTAAGGTTGCTTATGTTTGGGAGCGGATAATGCAATAAGAAAGTTTAATGGGAAAAACAAAGACTCTTTATATCCTGACCCTAACCATATTATAATATAGTATAATAGATTTAGATTCTGAAATTGGCCTTTATTGTGCAATGTGCATGCATAGCTTTCACAGAGATGCACATGAAACAAAAGCACTCCTAATTTCAGGTAAATGATGATAATAGCTTTATTATATGATATTTAACATACTTCATGTACAGAAGCGCAGACGTAGCTCCAGTTAAGAGACTTTGTTAATACATTTTTTACTTTTATTTTATTTTAATTTCATTTTTGATGAACATTGCTAATCCTTTACCCTCCTTATTTTTCACCTTGTACGCTGTACTACCAAAAATTGTAATTTTCTTATCAGGTCATGTATCTTTTCTGTTGTTCTTTCATATTGTTTTGTATAATTAAAAAAAAAAAAAAAATAATAATAAAAAAGTAAGCAAACGAAATATAACACGTCACTTCCGGCCGCCAATTTCTTAAGAACGCGCATATCATGTTCATCGTATCACTTGTCTGTGATGTAGAAAATTAAGTACTTTTTGTTCTACTTGGAAAACCGAAAAATAATATTTAATAGTCTGGAGATGTCCTCAAAGCAGACGTGAGTGTTATCAAACTTTTTCTTGTCAAATTGATAATCCTTTGAGTTTCAAAATCTTATATGTGGAAATGCTTAGTCATCGCTAGCCGATGATTAGCTACAGCCGACGTATTTAGCTAGCTGAATGAGGAATGATGCAAAATTGTGACCCCGCCATGACAGCTGGGTATAAAGTATGTTTTCCTTACCTTTAGTAATTCCTCTTTTGTGGTTATACAAAACCTACTCTGACTAACA